GGGTTTCACCATATTGGCCAGGCTGGTCATGAACTCCTGACCTTGCGATCTGCCCACCTTGGCCTCCAAAAGTGCTGGGATTACAGGCGTGAGCCACAGCGCCCAGCCTTGGTCTTCGTGCCTAGAAGCCTATCCTGGCAATTAATTCTTCAAATTCCAATTCTACTTTATAACCATTTGGGCATGTGGCTCCCCCACTAGGATTAGGGCAGCGACTGTTTCTCTTCCATCCATCCTCCCTTTGGTCTGAGGTCTATGCTCCTTACCTGTGGTCCTCCTCCCCACAGCTACATCCACAAGAACTCATTTCCACTTACTTAACTGACATGGGTGCAAATACAGCTCAGTGATGCAAACTGCATCCCTCCACAGAATGTCTAGGGCAGGCCCATATGGGGACACAGGAGGGAGTATACCTGTGATCTATGGGGTTCATCTCCCCTCCCCTGCCCCAGGCCTTGTCGTTCATTGTAGCTGAGGCTGGACCCTTCAGCTGCGTTTGAGAAATTTCCAGGTCTGAGACCCCCACTACTGCCTCAGAGGCTTTGAGCCAGTTCTCAGCTCCACCATTTCCTGTCCCACACAAAGATGTTAAATAATTTGCCCTCCATTAGGGAGCCAACTGGGGTATCTTTGGGGGTTAAGCCAGGATGAACCCCCTCCACAAATCTGCCCAGGGGAGAGAACTATGCTGCTTCAATCAATGTGCCAGTCTAGAGGACTCCGGAGGGAGTCAGATTCCCACACCTATCACCTCCCAGATGGTCCCTTCCAGGTGTCTGTGTGTGTGTGCAGTGGTGGTGGTGGGGGGGGGGTGTTTCAAAAATCCTCAAATATATAAAAGCTTTAAGACCACCAACAGGAAAGTAGACATATCCCCAATTTTATTCCCTTTGTCCAACATTCTGAGAGGGAAGGGGCAAATGAGTCAACGTTGCCCCTCAAAACCATCAAGTAGGGCCCTTTAGTTGATCAACCAGGGTGATAGACGGCTAGCCCCTTCCTCGTGGTCCTGGCTTGTCACAATTAATGGGGGAAAGTTTTCCCAAAGGGGATTCCGGGCTTCTCACCGCTTGATCAGGGAACCTTCCCAATACTTTCTCAGCAAAAAGTCTGCACTTCTCAGAGTTAAATATACGAGGGAGGAGACTCCTTGAGGAGCCAGAGGTGGGTGTGTTCTCAGGGGTCAAGAGAAGGGTGTCTCAGGCTCTCCCTGTCCAGCAGGGGGCGTCCTGGCTCCCCGTACCTTCGGGCAAGTAGCTCTCGGCTTGACACTGTCCAGCCCGCCGGCGTCCCAGGCCGCCCCAAGCCCTCATGGGGGAGGAGCGCCGACCTGTCTCCAAGCATCGGAAAAGGTGGGCCTCTCTTGCCGTCCATCATGCGGCTCTCTAGGCCCCCTGCGTCGCCAAGGGGCAGTCTCTGACATCCCCAATTCGTCGAGCTAGTCTCTCGAGATCTCTCACCTTAGGCGGGTTCCCCAGGCCCCCCACGCAGTCAGGCGAGCCTCCTGGCTCTACCACGCCATCGAGCGAGTTCGGCTCTTCGCCAGTCACCGTCCGTCGGGCCGGGTCTCCGGTGCCCCCGTGCTGTCGTGGGGGCTCCTTGGACCGTCGCCGTCGTCAGGCTGGGAACCCACGCCGCCAGGCTCCTCGGTCGGGGCCCGCGGGCGTACGAAGGCGCCCATGGCGGTGGCGTGGCCCGAGCTCTTATACACATCTAGATGTGTATAAGAGACAGGGGCAGGCCTCATCATCTGTTGTCACAACAGGGTTTTTTGGGGGTTTTCTTTGAGATAGAGTCTCACTGTCGTTGCCCAGACTGGCGTGGTGGTGCATGCCTATAATCCCAGCTACTCAGGAGGCGGAGGCAGGAGAATTGCTTGAACCTGCGAGGCAGAGGTT